GGACAGACCTCATATTCCCTATACTGTACATTATATCCTTGTGACTTATTTTATAACTGGAAGTTTATACTTCTTAATCCCCTTTTAAAATATTGATGTTAAGATTCAAACTCCCCAAATCTCTTCTTTTTTCAGTCTATATACTCTCCTTGCATAGTGTCTTTTGTGACCATAGCTTTAACTATCACCTGTGTATCAATGATACCTAAATACAGAGGAGTGACTTTTCTGAGAGGATTAGGATCTAAAGTCAGTGTGAAAGGCAAGAATAGAGTTAAAATTACCTTTGAAAAATCTCTGAATACTGTACACACAATTTTAAATATATATACTTTCAATCAAGAAATCCTACACAGCCTGCTTTCCTCTGCTATTGGAACAGAAGGCTGTTTCTTGAGTTGAATACCAGATGAAGTTGTTGGATTGCATTTAAGGGCCAAGTTATAAGAAAAATATGTTTTTGTTTTTTTGCCAAGCACACATAGTAGAGTGAATATAAGTTAAGTAAGTGTAGGAGATAACTTCACTGTATATATTTTCAGCCTGACCTCTTCCGTGAGTTCTGGACTTCTACACTAAACTGCTGAATGGATGTTGCCTTTTGGATATGCCAATCCAGATTGTTTTAGTTAGATTTCTGAAAACTGAAGAAATGTGATAACGTACATTCTACTTAGCAAAAGCATTTATTGAAAGCACATAGTGATGTTACGAAGATACAGCTCACGTGTGGATTGTTTTCATATCATCTAGACTGATGTTCTCATTCTAGGGAGATATCCTGTAGCACCACACAGGTGTCCACACACCTGTCTGCCCAGCTGGAGCCATAGGCAGCTTCAGATTGGTGGACTCTCTAGGCTAAGCATCACACAGGCCATTAACCTCTGGCTGAACAGCTTTATTGAAATCAGGATATAAGAAGGTATTTCAATTCTTTACTGGTCCTTTCCAGTGCTATACTTCACCCATGGGCTGTTACATCACCCTTCAGAACATCCTCATGAAGCTATCATGACAAATCAAAAAAGCAAAATCCCGGCATTTTCCCACTGACCAGACTGAACATCTGACTAACCCAAATAGGGTGTGGTGTGTGTATTAAGTACCAATATCATAGTCAAGTCTATATGGAAATAAGATTTACCTCCTCTTTATCACACACACCAAACAGCATAAATACTGGAAAGCATCAGCCCTGACAGGAGTGGCTCAGTTGGTTGAGCATCCTCCAGCAAATGTTGCTGGTTCAGTCCTCAGTCAGGGCACATGCCTGGGTTGCAGGCCAGTCCCTAGTTGGGGCATATGCAAGAGGCAACTGATCAATGTTTCACACATTGATGGTTGCTTCCTTCTCTTTCTCCTTCCACTCCCCTCTAAAGATAAAATCTTAAAAAATATTTAAAAGCATCATAATACAAAGCAAACATTACATTAAAAATGTAGCAACACTACTACTCAACAGTGTCCTGTTTCACTTCACATTTAGTATTTTAACAACATTACAATTACAACGGGACTGGACATCTTTCATGGTGTCCTCTTTTTTTTCCTGTCACTACTTATGTAGCATAATGCACCTTTTAATGCACCTTGAGTATATATAGAATAATGATGTCTCTTTACATCCTTTTACAATCTATGCCTACAAACTTAACACTATCAGCCCTTTAATTTTGTAACTGAAAGCAGGTCAGGCTGCCTGTTGCTACAAAACCCAATACTTGAGAGGCAGTTGCTGATGTGGTTTATTTGCAGGTGCTGGCAATCTGGAAGATGAAGGACTCACATCTCAAAGCCCATCTCCTAGGAAGATGGGGACTCATGTCTCAAAGCCCATTTCTACCTCTCAGTGGAGGCAGAGGTTTTTACAAGGAGGGAGAGGGGAATAGAACAAGAGATCAAAGGAGGGGGATAAAAAGTTCTCTACATGCAGATGAGCACAGTCCATTGTGATAAAGCAAAAGATGGTCCGGTGTGCCTCATCCTGACTTCATGTCATCCTGACTATACATCATCCTGGCTCCATGGTTGAAGGTCAGCAAATCTGGAACTGAGATGCTTGAAGGTCAGAGTCTGTATCTTTTGAAATTAGTCCCTAGGATACTTATACAAACGTACTGTTCATCTATAAGCTACACATCAGTCAGAGTCAGCATTTACAGAAACAATATCAAAAAAATGGTAGGGTGGGTTACAATTTCCACCATTACAATTTTCCACTGTTACAATGTGAGGAAGAATGAACCACATGGGGCGTTCTCCATGGCCAGCTCTGGGTTGCAGAAGGTAGGAAATCACACATTTGGAATGTCCTATAATCATCCTTTGATAGCCATCACATTTTGGCTTTTCTCCCTTTGAAGTTGACCTCTTTACCTCCATTGTTATTCCATTTATAGAACAATAGGATATGATTTGTATCAAGATAACATTCCTTTCTTTGTGTCAACTACATATTCAGTAATGTTAAGATCATAAGTAATTTGTTCTCATTTAAAATCACAGATAGCAATGTTAATTTTTATTTATTTTATTTTTATCAATGTTTATTTGTTTTTAATTTTTTTTTTCTTAAATTTATTTATTTTAGAGAGAGACATAGAAAGGGAGAAGGGAGTGGGGAGAGAGAAAGAGAGAGAGAAACATCAATTTGTTATTCTACTTATTTATGCATTCACTGGTTGATTCTTGTATGTGTCCTGACAAGAGATTGAACCCACAACCTGGGCGTATCAGGACGATGCCCTAACCAACTGAGCTACCCAGTCAGGGCCTCAATGTTGACTTTTTAAATTGAAGATAGCATTCTTTATTTTTATTATAAAAAGGAACACATTGATACTACATTATTTCTCCTTAAATCTGAAATATAAAAAATAAGTATGAAAAACAAAAGTCATTCATAAATCCTTTACCTAGGGATAACCATTATTAATTTTTGGTTATAACCTTTACCACTTTTCTGTAGGAACATAAATGAGGTCATATTTTAATGTGTTGTTTGTACTTGGCCATTTTTCCAGGTTAGGAAAACACAGATTACATGATCTTATTAATGTTTGTATTATGCCATTGCCTCTGTGTATCAATCCAATAAATTAAAAAATGTATATCTTTTTGTTCTCCACAGCTCTGCAAAGCTGGGATTATTACTAATTCCATTTTATAGAATATAGGTGCTAAGATTCAGATTAAGTGACCATGCCAAATTTACATACCAAGTAAGCATCAGAAATAAAGCTTGCTCTATGACTCCTTGCCTCCAAACTGGTGCCCTTTCCACTGTGTGTCTCGTGTCTCTCTAATGAGATAATGCAGATGAAGGGGCTGGGCAAGTGTTTGTTGTTATTTATTTTCAGAGATAAGCTAAAGGGAGTCATTGCCTTAAGAGCCACGTCTGATTTGGCCTGAATTTAGGGCAGTTTTCTGAATTAAATCTATACAAAGGCTCTCCGGGCGGCAAACTGAATTTATCTTAATGTAAACATCATTGCAATACACCAATATCAATACACAGTGAATCCTACAATGAAAATTAATTCCTGATTCATAAAGATAGCCATGCCACATTAAAGAACAAAATTTTCTGTACATTAGAATCATCAAATAAGACAAGCTCTAAGCTAAGAAATGTGATATACAAACATAGGACACAATTTTTATTTCCATACTGATCATAAAACGTCTAATTTATGTCCATAGCTGCTGCAACATGTTAGGAAATTCATCTTTACTAGCAGTATCTTTTTTAAAAATTGAATTTAAAACTATTTTATATGCAGTAAAATCTATCCTTTTTATGAGTTTTGGTAAACCAAACAGTGGTGTAATCACTAACATAATGAAGATGCAGAACAGTTCCACTACCCCGCCCCCACTCCAAATCCTCTCACGCTTCTTTTTGGTAGCCCTTTCCCCTAGTCATCACTGATCAATGTCCCTTTTTAGGACCTTTTTATTTCAGTAACTATAGACTCACAGGAAATTGCAAACATGGTACATTAGAGTCCCACATACCTGTCACCTAATGTACCTTTCTCTAATGGTGACTTTTAACAACACTCATAGGAGATCAAAACCATGCCTGTACATTTGAAGGCAGGTTTTCCTTTCACTTCCTTGCCTGTGTTTACTCTTTACTTTTCACACTAGTTTAATTCTGCTGTGTTAAAAGGAGCAGATGCTAGTTTTCCCTCAAATGTCTGCTCTTGCATTTTCCGTATTTCAGTTTGATCGCCTTTAGTTCTCCTGCATCTTTCGCTAGCTTTTTCTTTATCCCACCGTTTCCCCCTACTTTAGTTCTGCTACTAGATTTTTCTTTCTTTCTGATATATGTGGCGTGGATTATCAATTTGATTTCTAACTTCTACGCCGGTGCTTCAGTGTGGTCCTTCCGTTTTAATGGCGGGGGGGGGGGGCGGAAATGGGGAGCGGTTAGTCCTGCTCGGGCCTTCCGTAAGTGTTTACAGTAGTTTTGTAGTGTTCGTCTGTTAGCTGGCGTGGTTCTCCAAGTTCTTAGAGAGATGCTAGCGGCACTGCACAGTTCAGCCCTGTTCTAGCTCTACCCTATCTCCACTGGTCACCCTTTTATTTTTCAGCTATTTGGCTAATATTGTTAGAGGTTGTGCAGATCGCCCCCCTGGTTTCGGCTTACTCCCCGCACGTCCTTTAGCGGGCCGCCTTTGTGCTTCGCAGAATGTTCAGACTTCCTTTCCGAGGCCTGTCGGAGACGTGAGGGGCGGGGACTGGGCGGCAGTCCTGTTGGCGGCAGGCAGGTCTCAGCCCCCTGGCCCTAGCCCAGCCCGCGAGGACTAGAGTGTCAGCCTGCAGCTCGAGACAGGCCTCCTGGTGCGCGGGAGGAGCAGCGCGCATGCTCCAACTTGCTAGCCGGAGGTGGTGGCGGCGGCTGAGGGAGGGGCTGGAGGAGGGGTCGGGCATGTACCTCCCTCAACCGTGGCTTTGCTCCTACATCGCCACCCCTGTGGCTCCCCGGGGCCTGTCCCACTCCTCCCTGAAGCCGCTGGCGGGGCGGTAACGCGTGCAGTTAAGGGTACCGCGCCCCAGCTCCCCTCCCTCAGCCCCGTCGCCCCGCCCTCGCGGGGCTGGGCGGCCGGGCCGGGCGGAGCGGAGCGGGGTGAGTATTCCCAGAGCCTTTGGGGGCCGTCTCTTCCCGGCCCAGCTCCCCGCGCAGCCCTCACTACACTCCAGGGACCGGGAGAAGGGGTGGGGGTAGGTGGGCGGGGAGGAGCCCAGCCCTGAACAAAAGGCCGGGAAAAGGGTCTTCCGCCTCAGAAATGCAGGCATGGTCCTGGCTGTAGCGCTGCATCCGCTTTTCGGGGTGATCAGCTGTCGGGGGTGGGGAGTGGAGGGGGCGTGCCCCCTTTCCTGGGGGTCGGGCTGGGCCACGCGCGCTCTGGGGCCGCTACCGGGGCCTCCCCCTGGACTTCGGTAGTTAATGCCCTGTGGCTAAAGCTTGCTAGGGATAGCAAGTCTTTATCCTTGTAACCTTGAAACAAAGGGCATTAAATTACTGAAAGTACAGTGGCCAAGCCCCACTTAACTTGAAGGGGTTTCAGATAGATTGTCAGGAGGAATAACCTAACATTTATAAACACATTATTTTTCCTCCCAAGTAACCTATGTACTCATAGCATCTGAAATCACGATGGGATGCGGGGTACAGGAATAGTTAACTGAATTATAGAAACATTTGCTTTGGTAAAAATAAAAAACATTTAAGAAAGGCAAAAGGATAGCTACACGTCTTTTCAAAGTCAAAATGGAGTCTTGTCTATCTAACACGCCCATCTGAGGAAGAATTAGTTATCTAGGGGACTGGACTTTTGCTTGACATAGTATTGATTACAGCCCCAGCTGTGCAGTCACTTTTTTGTTCTTGTTTGAGATGCAAATTATTTCTGAGTGGGAGAAAAAAATGCAGAAGGTTGTAGTTTTATTGCCCTATTTCCAATATTTTCATAATTTTTACCATTCAGCTTGTTCCTTCATTGTAAATTCAATAAATCTTTGCCACAGGTTCCCTTTGTCTTATGAATCATGTTTCTAAGTTTTGAAACATTACAATTTGACAATGGCTTCCACTTTTTAGTGGCAAGGCCTTACACTTGTACTTTTCAGGATTGGAAAACATAGCCCCCATGTCGTACTCAATACGTCGTGGGACCTTTCCTTCTTGTTTCTGAAGGGTCAAATGTGGACAAGAAGAAACATTTACAAAATGAAAACTTGACCGCCCCCCGGCCCCTGCCCCAGTGTTGAGTGTTGAGAAACTCGAATGACGGTCTTGCAGTTACAAGGTTTAAGGATTGTTACTGATATTTTAATGGAGGAAACTAGTGGAAGCAGTTTTCACCAGTTCTGAACTGGATTCATTTGAAGGTAGAAGTTATAAGATTATTTCCCCACCCACTCTTCTCTCCTCCCCACTTCCCTTTCCCCTTTATTTAGGATAAGGTGAACTGAGATTTTACTACATGATGAGGCCATTGAGTTGGGCAAAAAATGTTTTGTGACAAATTGTAAAGTGGTAGCAGTTCCTAATGCTTACATATTTATGAGACAGATACTCAACCCCTTAGGAAAAGCAAGAGGGTAAAGTTTATGTAAGTAGATTATTTAAAACCTGGCTTGATTTTATTAATATCTTTGAAGTCTGGAAATGTGTTTTGGGAGTCTAGAAGCATGGTTTGAATCATACACTTAGGGAACCATAACAACAAAGCACCGTAGAGATTATTTGGTGATTATCCCTTGAAACACATGTCTTCAAGTGTCAAACAGTCTGAGTATAAAACAATTGGAAAATAGGGGAATAGAGAATAATCCCTACCTAAAAGCACCCAGATTAGGGACAAGTTGCTAAAAACTATGCAGAATCAGAGTTTCTGCTAATGTACATGGCACCCCAAGCCTTGAAGGGCTTGATCTAGGTTTATGGGACCCAGGAAGAGACTTTACTAAAGTGAATTTATCACTGTCATGTAATACCTTTCAGAGAAAAAATTTTTAGTCATCTCTTTTGAGCTCAAGAACTTACAATGGTTTCCTGTTGGTCACTGCTTAAATGAAATCTCTTTATAGAGTTTTAGGAGTATTTATAAACTGCCCCCCTTTTTTCTTGTATTTCTTAATCTATATGCCCCCGTTAGACTCTTTCCCTGTCTACCCTGCCTCATTTCACTGATTCTACCGCCTCTACCCCTACTAACCCTTGTCATCCCGTTATGTATTATATTCCTGCCTTTCAGTATCTTCTTATAATTCTTATAATTAATTCAAGGGTTATCTGAAGTATAACTTCAGACTGACTTAGGTCAAATTGCCACATTTATCAGCTGTATTACCTTGGGCAAATTACATAACCTCTCTGCCCCAATTTCCTCATCTGTAAAATGAAGAAAATCATAGCAAGTACCTCAGGGTTGCAGTGAAGTTTCAACAAGTTGATAACAGTTTTTGGCATATTGTAGGAGCTCAGTACATGCTACTAGAATTATTATTTTAATCCATATCAATTTTTTAAACAGTGGTTAAACAATTTATCACTAGTTTTTGCTATCTTTTATTTCTAATGTGGTTTTCAGTTTGAATCTTTTCTTACAAATTTGATTACAAATTGTTGAGGCAAAGACCGCACATCATGTTCTTTTTGAAAAGTCTCTTAAAGTTCACCCAGGATGATTCTGAGGACTCAATACATTTTTTTTTCTATCTTACTATCTAATGTTCTTTTCTTTCCATTTTATTTTGTTGCTTATATTTTAAAATTTATTCCCTATTTGGTTTTAAAAGTATTTGAGTTATCTTATAATCTATGTATAACATAATAACATACAAAATAAATGGTCATGAAAATAGGAAGCTTGACTAGAAACACTGGAGTGTGATATACTGAAATACATACCATGAAAAGTTGTATAATTGTTAAAGATGAACCACAACTACATTCTCAGCTTCATGATGGTCAAAGGAAAGAACACGGCATTCCACTTGCTCAGGAAAACACACAGCTTCTTTGGAAGTAAATATTTTGTGAGTGAAATGCAGATTGTGATAGATTTCAAAACTAGGCTAAGAAACCCTAGGGTTAAATTCTCTGGACTTTGTTAAGCCCTAACCTACTTCCCAATGTTTTTCCAAAGGGGTGTTAATTGGCATTTTTATGGGACTGTCTCATACCTTGTAGGATGCTTATAGTACCTCATTCCCGAATATTAACCAGCAATAACAAAAACATAACTCCTGCTTTTTGTGATAGCTGAGTATGATCCCACTCATTTCCAAACGGCTCCTTTAAAACTGGTCCCTTCTTATGCTGGGAACCATTGGACCTCATCTGCTTATATTTTACCAGCCTATGCTCCATCTACTGCCACTTTTTAAATTTTTTTAAATTTAGCACACTCTTTTAAGGCCTGGTCTTGCAGGAGCTGTTCCATCTTTTGGGCATGCCTTTCTTTGTCTCCACTTTTTAGGCCCTTATTCAGATTCAAAATTCAGGTCTTCAGGAATAAACTCAGGCCTTCCAGACTCCCTTTTTGGGGGTCTTTTCTGATTTCACCGAGAAAAGTTTGATATTCCTTTTTATAAGGACACACACAGGAAGCACTAGGATATTGTAGATGCTGAGTGAATGAACGAAAAGCTTGTGGAGATAAAAAGGCACATTAATCTAGTCTTATGTGAAAAGAAAAAACTAAAGGGATTGTCAGTTCCATTACAAAAATATCCAACCACTTACTTTCTTTTAAAAAAATGTAATAGTGCTTTGTAGTATATTTGAAAAACAGCTCTATTATCTATATTTAGACTAAACAGGTCTGTAGCTTATAAAACAATGTTAATCATTTTCCTTACCTTTTTGTTTGTTGAATATGCTATTAGTTCTTGGTTGTGACTAGAGTTAAGTCCCTCTATTCAAAGGCAGCAAGAGTTGGAGTTAATGGATCAGCTCAAACTAGTGGTGGAACCACTTCTCATGTACTTTCAGAGAAATCTTGTTTATATATTAAGAAATGATAACCTTCTTATATAAGTAATGACACTGGTATCAGAAAGCTTGGATATCATAAATCTACTGTTTAAATGGGTAGAGATACAACTTGTCTATAGGCTTGGAAGTTGATTAGGATAAAGGTACTATAAAGAGGTAGGGATATGTATTGATAGAATAAATTCATTTAAAGTTTTTAGTTTTTCTTGGATTTATTACAACTTTTATGTAATGTTTACTGTGTGCCTAGCTCTGTTATAAGCATTAAGACCGAAGTTTAAGTCAGAAGCCCTCAGATGTTTAGACATTTTAGTGTTCCCTGCTGTGGAGCAGATGGATGAGGCTAACCAAGATTTTTGTTCCTCTGTAGGTTAACTGATTTTGCTGCGTGCATTTTTGTTTTTACTTTTAAATTTTATTTTTAAAGATATTCCACTGGCCAACCTCTAGACTTAGGTTTCTTTCCAACAGTTTTCTCAGAAACACAGTGAATGCTTTCAATTAATGGGAATAAATCTTGTTGTTTCTTTTTTTATTCCTTTTGTTGGGAGTAAATCTTTTTAATCCTTTTTTTTTGTAGCTCAGGAGTAATTTTTCAATTTCATGTTTGCCTGTATGATTTCAGTGCAGCAAAGCCAGTTGTTTGTAGGTTAGATCTGTGTTCTTTGTACTTCCTGTCAATCGATATGCATTGTTTTCATCTTGGTCCTTTTCCTTCTGTGTGTTTTGAAATCTCACTTGTGTATGCTAAAATACTAATTAGATTTTTTCCAGCTTTTAGACTTTCATCTGTTGCCTCTAATGTAAAATTTATCTGTACTGTTAAGACATGCTTGAATTCTTTCCAGTTTTTCTTTTCCAGTTTTCTTTTTAATCTCAGCTGTTGTTCCCTCCACCACCTGACCCTCCCCTCCACTATCTCTTGCTTTTGGAAGGTGGGTTTTTCTTTTTCCTTTTCAATTGGGTGCATCAAGTAGATATTCTAAGTTTTTCTCCTGATTCCCAATGTAAGCCTACTTCAGCACCAGCAGGCTTCCCTCTTCCTCTTTATCATGGTGCTCCTCTTTCTTATGGGACAAGAGCTTCTTACTGGCCCAGTACTGTTACTGATGTTTTTGGTT